CCCCAAAACCCCAAAACCCCAAAACCCCAAAACCCCAAAACCCCTTTTTTAATCCGAAAGAATGAAATCGAGAATCATTTAATCTTAATTGCTTATATTATTAATTACTCTGTTGGCAAGAGCGATCTTTCCTTTCCAAGGAAAGATCGACTATCGCCAAGTTAAATACATCGATATGGAGGAAATTCTTTAGAAGACTTCAGCCATAATAGAAGCAAAGTCATCAATTTGCTCAGCTCCTAAGTCGGTAGAGTCAGATGCAGTAGAATAGCACTCATCGATTGGTGCTGGGGATTCCATCAATGTCTGATTTTTGGTGCAGGAGTCAAGGGAATAATCTTCCTTAGCATCGTCGATTGGGTTGAAATCATTTGTGATTTCTTCAAAGACCCTTAGTCTTTTATTAGTCATCCATGGTTTGGCCATCCTTTCTTTTAAGTTTAGTAGATTTTTAGCAAAATAACAATTGGGTAATTCATGGAAAGATCTTTTGTCATGATTATAGAGGCATCTGGAACCATAACTACAATAGAGCTCATTATGGAATTTTCCACAAGGCTGCTTCTTAGTAGCTTTCTCTTCCTGTACTTTTGATTGTCCAATAGAAAGTTCATGGTAGCCATGAGCAAACATACACCTAACTGAATAGCTACATTTGCCTGTCTCTATCCAATTTTTACAAAGCTCAGTCTTATATTTGATCTGATTTTTCATGGCACCATCCTGATTTGTGGTTTTATTGATCAAATTTTCATTTTGAGTAGTCTTTGCTTTCTCCTTCTCTCTTCTTAGCCTAGCTTTCTTGCCTCCCCTTCTAGTCTTCTTCTTGGGATTTTCAACCTGAGACCCGAAGGTACTTTCTCCTAGAATTTTATTGTGAGGTCCTTGAGAAAATGTGCTCAGATCGGAACAATTTCCTTTCTGAATAAATGAGCTTGATTGTGGGGAAGAGCATTCCCTCTCTAAAGAGGCACCAGATGTAGTGCTCGCATTACTAGCACAATCACCATTATTAATCATCCTAGTCGAAGATAGTTGGCAAGAATTCAAATTCTTTGACGAGTTATGTTTGTGAAGCACCAAACCATTTGGAATTTTAGAGTCAATTTCAGAGTCCTCCTTACATGTATTGGGCTTAAAAGTTGTTGTTGAGTAAGCCAACTTGCTTTCTTGCTTATTAGAAGTGGTATTTTGAGAATTCTCCTCATTTTTGGCTTGCTTATCGCCACGTTTTACAAAAACTCTGCTTGAGATGCTTAACATTACTATTTAATATTTATAAAATTCCAGCTGTTACTACTTATAAGGGGTTTTGGGGTTTTGGGGTTTTGGGGTTTTGGGGTTTTGGG